CTTGATGGCTTTGACCTCGGCTTCATCTGTCGTGACCCCCAATGTGTGTGTGGAAAACAAAACTATCCCTTCCCATGAGCCCTCTGCATAGACAGAAAGATTGTTCCTCAGGAAACGCAGGTCAGGAAGTCAGAGGCGGAAGCCAGCCTTTCGTTCTAAATACAACCATCCTCTAGAGATTGGCGTGTCAACAGAGAATTGGGCAGTAAATCTTCTTTAAACGTTGACCCCTCACTCTCTTGTTTTGTTGCTATTTTTTGCAACTTTGCATTTACCGAAACATCATCATTCTTCTTCTTCTTCTTCTTCTTCTTCTTCTCCTATTTCGCTGCAAATTGGCAGCAAAGGAGCCACAGACTTACATTTCCAACATGGTGTTTGTTTTGAACTCCGGTCATGAATGTAATGCTGTGACGTGTCAAAGCCATTCAAATGAGCCAGGGCTAGCACTGATGCCGCATCCCACCCAGTGTGAGATGAAGGGCAGTGGAAGTGAGTGGATGGGCATGTTGGAGCGATTCATGGGAACAAGATCAGCAAGAGCAGTTGGTGGTTTACCACTAACAATGCTGTGGCTACTCTTATGGACAATTAATCGCTGCTTGTTCTTATTTTGCTCCTTCCCTCAATCCTTCTCTCTCCCAAAACTCTCTTCCTCTGAGGCTAGGTTCGCCCTGTATGATGACCACAGTCCTCCCATATGAATTTGGCAAACATACCATGAAACATGAAAGGAAGCAATCATGGTGTCCTGGCTGTCAAGGCTTATACAGACAAGGACAGGATCACACAAATTGGGAAGTGGGCAGTGGATACAGAAACAAAACCCATGCAGGATCACAGTAAATATGAGATCACACATGACAGCATATTCAAGGAATCAAAGTCTGTTTTGGTTTTGTTTTTTTTGCTCAAACTTGACTATCCTTGACCACTGATTACTCAACAGTCAGCAGAGTGATTAGCTGTCCTGATGAAAAACAAAAAGGAAGTTGTTGAGTAAGCAGTGACTTTTAATAGAAGCAGAAACACAACTGACTCTACTCCTGCAACATGTCACATTTGCAGTAGTGAAAAGCATATGTACTGCATTAATCATTGTTTTGTTTTTTTCATCTTAAACTCCTTTGTCTTCCACTTTTATTTTTCAGAGGACAAATGTACTCCAATACAGCTGTTTCCACATATTTAAAGTAAAGAAGTAGTTCAGTATACTTTAATTGAGGTTAAAATAACCTGTTGTTAAATTACAGCTAAATGCAGCACTTAAAAGTGTCTCCTCCTCAACATTAAGTACTCAAATAAAGGTCACCTTCCATCTGTTATTTAAAAAGAAAGAAAAAAATATATGAAAATACAACCATCTTCTGAACATTGATTTGATACACTGTAACTACCTTTACTTACGCATTAATAACATAACAAATAAAGTTGAAAAAAAAAATACAATATTGTACTTTGCAGTTGGATTTAGCATTGAGGAAATGCTTGTGGCTATCATAAAAATATGGATTTTAAGGAAATCTGTATGTTTTTCTTCTATTTAGAAGGAAACATACAACACAACTACAACACTACAACACAAATGGCAACTACAAACATAGCTTTTTTCACCCTGACTATGTCCCCTCTTCTCAAATCTAACCTACACTGGCACTACTAAGCTCTTAAAGGTTGTTTTCCCATGACTGGCAGAAATAACTAAGATGTGCCAGCGACAAACTGAAAATACATTTCTTGCGAAGCAGAGATGTTCCGCTCACAGCTGCATATACAGTAATAACCTTAATATTAAGGAATTGAAAATGCAAGTGTGTGGGGGGGGATGACTGTTTAGTGAGGCAGAAATCTCACTAAGTGGAAACCACTAAGTGACTGGTATTCATCAACAACCCTATCAAGCCCCAGAATACACATTATGCACCATGCAGCAGTAAAAAGTAAAAATACTACTTATTTCTTCTTTAATACATTGTTTAATGAGCTTGTGGTCACCTTAACTGGGATGTGGTGCAGCACGGTTTGAGATTACCACAATACTAGTTTGAGTAATTGTGAGTTTTGTAGCTGATAAGTCCCTTTGCTTCACACAAGGCCAATGTTAGTCTATCTGTGGAAAGGCTGATTACACAATTCACAAGTTTGTACTGAGCACTAAATTACCTCAAAGCCGCACAACAAAGGAGCTGTCTTTGACTGAGCTGACCTGCTGGTCTAATCTTAGAAATTCCCACTCAATCTAGAACTATTCTGTTGAGGTAAAGTTATGTTTTAGGCAAACGTGCAAAGACTTAAAATACTGTACAAAAATAGAGTTAAATAAGAAATGTTGAGACCAGAGGAGAGAGAAGCGGAAGAACTTTGCCCTCTGTTGGCTGCAGGGAGGAACTGCAGCAAATTGTTGCCACAACAGTCACCTCCCATTTATTTGTTGTTCTCCTCCATGACTTCTTTCATCTCCCGTACTGATAGATGAAAAATTTAACATCCTGTTATCCCACTTAAACATTATCAGTGACCTGAAGCTCAATCCCCATCCTCCCTTCTGAGCTTGGGGTCATCAAAGTCAACGGCGCAGGAGGCAGAAATCAAATGACGCAGCACATGCTGAGGAGTGACTGACTCCAGCGCCAGCAGAGCCTGGAGGGAAAAAAAGGAGGACAGCCTTGACCTCGGAGAGCACAAAACCTCAGAAATCAAGTCTCCTAAGAGAGAGCTCAACTCAGTCAACAGTAAGAGGAAAATACTGCCAGAGAAGTTGATATATAGATTGCGCCTTTTGTGTTTGTACCTTTGGAAGTCAGTGAAAACGTCATGATGCTTCTACGCACCTTAGTTTCAAGATTTCTGTCATTTGTGACAACAGAAAATATTTGGATTTCAAACTCTTTATGAGGTATTTTTTTTCTTTTTAAAGGAAAGAGTCCAGAGTAAAATAATGCAGGTTTTTTTTTGCAATGCATTGTGTTAAAGTCTTGTCGGTAGTAATTACAGTGGTTTACTGTCTCCATTTTTAAAGCATCTGACTTTATCCCCTGAAAGCACAGCAGGCTGACTTTTTTCTATATATTTTCATTTTGGCAGGAAACAGGTGCCTCCTCCTAAACCTGGAAGGACAACTGAGTCACACAATAATATCAGCAGGCACGATATATCTGAGAGTATTAAAAATAAACAAATGCACTGCATGAGGCTTCTTGAGGCCAAGGTCCAGTATGAAGGCATTTCCATCAGTCAGTGGGTAGTTTGTTTTTGAGTTTAGAGCCCTGCTGACCTTGTGCGCTTTAAATCCTTGCAAGTATCTACAGTGAAATTTCCAGCTCCTGCATCACAGTTACACGAGCGTATTCTTCACTTGTGTTACATATTACGAATTCCCACACCAGCTACGGGATTTTTGCATTTGCAAAATGAAAAGAAAAAAGGGAAAAAAGTGATTCTCTCTACTGCCCTGCTCTGTTTCTCCCTTAGAGGGAGACAATCGATCTGGCCCACTTAATCAATCAGTGACAGGCCCTTTGAACTGCAGACGAGATTTCTAGCAAGTCTGTCATCCCACCCTGTCGTCTGTGAAAACACTCCAGGGGGAGATTGCTCTGCACAGGCCTGGCTCGTAAAACTCTTTTTTTTTTTTTTAAGTTCCAACACACACCCTTGCTGTTCACTGACAAGGTCCAGAGTAACCTCTGGAGTGTTTGCATCTACTTTTCTTAATGCATAGCGAGGAGTATGTTTGAGTTCCAAAAAGGTCAGCTCATGAGGCCTTAGTCAGATACTTGCTTGAGAAGCTGTGGTGTAATCTGGCCTGTTTTATTTCAGCTCGTTTCAACATTTCAGTGCAAAAACAACTTCCCTGCCTCCTTCAGGGCTGCTAGCAGTTAGAGACAAAGCTCTCCACCTCCCCACTCCCCCCTGCATGGCTCCTGTATAGGCAAAGAAGAAGAGGAAGGGGAAAGGGAATGTTTGCCTCTCTATCCCACCCCTCATCCCTCACTTCCCTGGGGGCAATGCTGTGTAGTAATAAACGTCCCCCATAAATCTCCCCCTCACGCCATCATCCCCTCCTCCATACTCCAACTTTTTTTTTCTGTATGTTAACAGCTTATTTTCTTCTCCCCCTCCTCCTCAACTCTGCTTTTCTTTTCCCTCCTCTCCTTTTCTACTGCAACCCAACCCTGACATTAGGGTCTGCACATGGCCGATGTCATAGACTTTATGAAGGGGGGTGGGCAAGATGAGCCACAATACATGTATATGGGTTTCACTCTCTGTAGTCTGTCACGCCAGTGCGGTCGAATCTAGTGAGGTCACTCATGTATCAGATTGTCGCCTACAGTACCTGATGAAATGACATGCACATATTCAATTCAGAAGAGGAGTTTTATACCTGCTGGTAATGAATAACAAACGAGCTGTGGCTGAGAAGAAGAATGCTGTAACAGTGAAATAGCTGTGGTCGGGAAAGAGTTAAAAGTGCGAGTGCCTGAATTCACCGGAAAGTCCCACAAGTGACGTTACAGTCCAGCAATTAAGAGTAAATTAATTACAGAGTAGTGGATGGTAGCTGAAACCCCCAGGATAATACAGTAAACAACTCCAGAAGTACAAGATTTCCATTGCACTACTCCTCTTCACTTGCCTTTGAAGGCTTCTGATCGGACTTTAGTTTTATATAAATATATTTAAGCTGCTTAATTATGAACTGAAGACACTTTTCCCTCCAACAAAATTAACTTTTAACAAATCTAACCCAAAGTTCACATTCTCCGATCAAGTTAAAGAGAAAAAGAAACTTGTTTTTAGTGCGTTACCCCTCCTAACTGGTAGCCTAAGATTGTTTGGCATTCAAAGCTCACCCAGCACTGGAGTAATCTCACATAAACTGACAAACCAATGCAAGTTTTTTTTTTTCCCTACAGTTACTAAAGTTACTGAAAGTTCACGCCCGTTTTTTGAAGCTCCTCCCTGCAGTCGATTGATTAAAAAGCAAATGTCGGGGTTGGTGCAGGGCAGAGGGGGAGAGTTCAGTAGCTCTGAGCAACTTTCTAACAAGTAGACTGGCTTTCTTTTTTTTTTTTAAACTACTTTTGTGATTTGATTCCGGTCGCTGCAAAGATGACCACAGCCGTGGTATCGCCTTTCTTCGACTTCGAAGTAATGAACAAGGTAGCTTCCTAACTTTTTCCACCCCCTTCTCTCTGTGTGTCTGTCTGTAGTCTTGTGGGCTGACGTTAGCCTGTTAGCAGCGGGGAGTTAGCCGCTGTGGAGGAATGACGAGCTCCGCGGCCCTCTGCCGCCTGCGCGGAGGCTGTTTTTGTTTTGCTGTTTATTGCTTTGTATTCCGCTTTGAGTCAGCTGCGTGTTTATTTTGTTTGCTTCGTCTGTTATTTCCTCTCTTCGGCCTCGTCTCCTGAGGGTTTACGCTATAACCGCCTTCAAAGTGGACCGAAGCGCTGCGGGAGCGTTAATTTAAAAATTGTTTAAAAACATGGTGTTTTTATTTACTTGTGTATTTATTTAATGTTCAACATGCGCCACATCCGCTAACTTTAATGTCTATGGTTTATGCTTTGAGGTTGGTGTGCAGTTTCGGCAGTCAGCGGCTGTTAAAGTGAAAGCTTTATGTCCTCTTTATTTTAATGAGATCACTTTTGCGCCACTTTTAATGCTGCTTTCAGAGCAGCCACATGCTCGCTAATCATTGACCAGATTTGGCTGGCTTTAGCCCACTTTCTGCCCCTATAAAACTACTTAAACTACCGGCATCATCTCACCTTAACACTTGATGCGTAATTCGTTTTCATACCCCGTTTTGAGTGTCAGATTGCCTCTCAAAGCGTTTTTGTTTTTCTTTTAGCCTCCCTCTGGAGTTTGTTGGATTTCATTTACACTGTCGTGTTTATGTAAATCATGACTAACTGTTCATTTCCACTAGTATGGAAATGTGTGAAAGCAGATCAGGTTTCCCTTGTAATCCACAGAATGTTTGGCCACTTTCTTTCTCTTTCAAATGATGCAGGCTCTTTGTAGCCCACACTGGTAGTCCACAGGCCTCTCATGTGCTGCTGCTGCTGTCCTATTGACTACACAGGCGCACACATTCCTAACCTGGGCAACTTGCCAAACCAGCTGCTGTTCTATAGGCCTGTATCCGCTAATGTGGTCTGAGCCAAAAAAGAACAGTCATGCAGGCGGAGGTGTAGCCCCACCAGTCCCACAGTGCCCGTCATTTTTATTTATTTATTCAGGGAGAGTATCTGTACAAATGGTTTATAGGCTCGCCTAACAAGCGTTCAGTCACTTTCAGGAGTTGCATCAGGATGGCAATCGGACTTAAAAATCAGGGAGCTGCTGAAAGTAGCTTTTTATTTGTGCTCTACTTTTTCTAATGCTTGCATTTTCTGTACTTTATTTTTCTTGCAGAACAAACTTCTCAGCTACAACAACAACCTGGGTGTCTCCCATCCCATGTCTGTTCCTTGCACTAGCACCAACGTGCCCATCTCCAGCTCCGCCGGACCCCTGCTGGACAGGAAGGCGGTGGGATCTCCCTCAGTGGGAGGCGTGTACCAGCGGCGGCACTCTGTCAGCAGCACAAAGTTCAACCAGAACCAATTTCTGAATAGCCTGAAGGCAGCGGACCAGTCCTCCTCACTCATCTCAGGGGTTGGCAATGCCAGCAACAACAAGGAGAACCGCCTGCGAGACCGCTCCTACTCCGAGACGGGCGAGAGGCTCATCAACAAGTGCCTGGGCCCTGCCAGTCCCACTGGCAGCAGCAGCCAAGTGAACTCCAGCCGTTACAAGACAGAGCTCTGCAGGCCCTTTGAGGAGAACGGTTCCTGCAAATATGGCGACAAATGCCAGTTTGCTCACGGAATCCATGAACTGCGCAGCCTGAGCCGCCATCCTAAGTACAAAACTGAGCTGTGCCGCACCTTCCACACCATCGGTTTCTGCCCATACGGGCCTCGCTGCCATTTCATCCACAATGCCGAGGAGCGTCGTGGACCTCCCCAGCAGTCCTCTCCTCTTAACTCTATGAACAAGATGGAGCGACCTCGGCTGCAGCACAGCTACAGCTTTGCTGGTTTCTCCAACTCAGCTGGGCTGAGAGACAGCCCCACCTCAGTCACCCCTCCACCCATGTTCTTCCCTGATGAGATCCCAGACTGGCCCAGCAGAAATCCCTTCACCTACTCCAGCCAGGAGCTGGCCAGCCTGTTCGGGCCCAGTCTCAATGCCGGTCCTGTAGGCACAGAGCCCAACACCCCTGCACCTCCCTCTCCAACAAGCACATCTTACTATTTCAGACCCATGTTGGAGTCCCCTCAGATGTTGGAGTCTTCATCCAGCCCCCCAGACTCTATGTCGGATCAAGAGGGCTACCAGAGCAGCTCTGGTGGTAGCCTGTGTGGCTCAGAGTCCCCCACGCTGGATAACACCCGCCGCCTTCCCATCTTCAGCCGCCTCTCCATCACTGATGACTAGACTGCACGTATCCACTAGTGACTTTTAAATTTGACGACACAAAGAACATGGCACTCCCCTCTACCTCTGCCCTTCAGACTCCCCTCTGCCCTCGAAGCTCCCTTACACATCACGTTAGTTCCTTGTTAGCATTATGAGGATATAATCAACTAAGGGAACCCTCAGCTAAATCTATCATTTCTTCCCACTTAATCTGCACAGCAAGTTTTAAAAGAAAGTACCCCGCCATGTGTCATAGTGCCAAAAAAGGAGAGGAAACTGAACAATGAAAATGATGAGAACAAGAATTGACTGTTTATGCCAGGTGCCACTTGTTTTTCTTTTTGTTTTTCTTCTTCTTCATGTATTATTGAATGTGTTGCAGCACAAGTGGCCTTGGAAAGGGGTGTGCTTTGCACTAGCCCTCACCCCCCTCCCCTCTCTCCCCTGCCATCCTCCCTGATGATACCACTTCCCCCGAGCTTGCTAGAGGGTGCTAGGTAATGTAACTGTAGCTCTACACCGCAGATGTTTTTACAGACTGAGTTAAGACAAACGGAGAGAAATGACAGACCCTGAAAATATATGAATAGTTTTTTTTTTTAAAAGAAATGGAGAAAAAAAAGTGCCTGGGCAGTTTCTGCATGTGTTTAGGGTGAATGGACTACTGTTTGTTTTGGTTCTTTCTCATTTGCCCCCACCCACCTCCTTCTACCCCTCAGTCAAGCCCCGTCTTATGTAATTTTGAACCGGGTGAGTCTGCAGGAAGGACTTTGAACTGGAAGTTGGTTATGGCCCCCCCTCTCCTCCTGTTGCTGGTCACTGGCTGTTTCTTTTTTTTTTTCCTTGGGAAGGAAGTTGATATCAAACTGATCATTAAACCTGCAAGACTTTGTCCTGCCCCCAGCACCTACACCTTCATCTTCACCGATCCGGGGAATTCCAGCATTCCCATAATATAGTTATACGTCGCATGACTTGACAAGATCGGATCTCCAAGCTATTTTACTTTACTTGTCCCCCTCCCATCTCCTTCACTTTAGAACCTGCTCCGTGGAGCTCTCTACTCTCATTACATCCCTTTTTTGCTTTCTTTATTTGATAATTATTTTTTATTAATGTTATTATTACGGTTATTATTATTTGAGAAACTTTCCAGACAGAAGGTTTGCGTGTCACTGCTTATTTAACTTATCAGAACATATTTATTGGTGATCATATGCATTTTTTGTTAATTTTGTTTTTTGTATTTATCTGGATAATGAACAATAGAATATATTTTCTTTTATGTTAAATTATGATCTTCCATATTAATCTAAAGATTGTGAAGACGTTTTTGTCAGTTTTCCTTTTTTTTCACAGTTTAATATATTGTACTTCAATGACTTTTGTTCTGCAACTACACTTTGTCAAAATGAAACTTAATTTAAAGCAAGAAAAAAAAAAATGCAAAAAAAGCTGTTTTGCGTTTTGATTATTTATTGTACTTTGTTTTTCTTACTCCCTCTTATTGGACTGCATTTCCATCTAAACTAGATTTGCTTGTATCCATTCCTCCCCTTGCACATGTTACAGTAATCTGACAGTAACAGTAGCTAACTGTTATGACATTAATTCGATTTTTATTTTCTTTTCCTGATCTCTTGTCCCCACTTTGAAGAGGACTATTCCTACTCGGGTTGATGGTAGACTTAAAGGGGTGCTAAAAAGAAAATTAGTAACATGACTCGTTTAGCAGAGTCTAGCAGTTCAGAGGCTGGCTGTGTTGAAATGTGTTCTGTCATCCAGTCTGTTATTACAAGCAATAGTTGTGACCAAATGAGTTGAAAGTATCTTCTTTTCAATTCAATTGGATTCTTGATGCTTGATCAGTGGAAGTGCCTCGTTTAATACATTCCAGGTAGCTAAGGGCTCTCCGCCTTTTTATATTTGATAATGGAGGACAATTTTTTTTTTTTTTTAATTTTTTTTTTTTCTCTCCTTAAGTCACTTGTTCTGTGTTGCCTTCGTGTGTTCGGAAGAGGTGAACAAATTCTGACACAAAGAAAGTAAAACTGTTGAATGTATTTTATTTTTTTTATTTTTTTTTTTCCCAGCAATGTTTTTTCACTACAGTAATTTCTGTGAGTTTATATGAAAACCTGTTCTCTCTCTCTCTTACTCTCTTTCTTTCTCACTTTCTATCTCTCTCTCTCTTTTTGTAAGTATTGATTGCAGTTAAGTCAATAAACCTGTATTTTTTTTGAAAAGTTCAACTTTGTGATGAGTGGTGTGTAAAAAGTTCTGGGAAATGGAGCAAATACGGGGCACGTTTATGCTCAGTTTTGGGTACCCATTCAAACTCTAGAGGGCTTCCCATGAATGTGAGTTAAAAAAATCAGTCTTATTCTAAAACCTTACAATTCCAGAGCTTAATCAGTATTCAAGTTTCTTCAGTATCAAGTCCAATAACGGCTATGAGGAAGCTCTAATGACTAATACTGCATACTTTAAATGTTGCCATTTGTCCAAAATGTGAAGGAAAAAAGAAACTAGTTACATTTGGTAACATCATACCCAAGGAAACTTGGGTTTTAACAAAAGAGGGACACAGTATTATATTTGAGGCTGTGATCAGGTGAGTGCTTTTTCGATGCATAATACAGAACTAAAGGGAGTTTCGGTGTGGTGCAAGTTGATTGGTGAGCTGTGCAGGCAGCAGCCAGGGGTATTGACCCGGGGATAGTCAAAGTCTGATTGAGCAGGCTTGATTACACAAAGACCTGGCATACTTAGTTTCAGCAGAAATATTGATCAGGGGGAGCTACTATAAAGTTTCCAAGAATAAAAAAAAACGATTTGATGAGGTTGTGACCTAATCAATATGTACACAAGGGTATTTCAGGTAAAAGGGGGATAAACGGTGCAGTCATAGTTAACACAATATGCCTTGGGGTTAATTTGATATATTCTGTTTTTACATTGAGAATAAATACAGATAACAATCACAAGTTGGCCATTAATGCGAGCAGAGTGGTATTCGATTTCAGTAGCAACTTCCACTTTATGCACTCGACTCAAGATATGCACCTTCTGCATTTCCTCGGCCTCTGGACACTTCCCGTCTGTCCATGTTTATATTCTCTCAGATTGCAAAAAAACCGGAGCAGCAACAGGAACTCCCTCCGTACAATGGTGGGTGCTGACCCATCACAGCTGACCCATGGAGGCCTCCTTGTTGCTTTATCCCTGAGAACCTGGGCCTTGTGGCGTCTAGTCTTGATCCTTAGGTCCCTCCATTGTTCATCACCCACCAACCTACTCCCCCATCCCATGTTAGACCAGCTGGAAATGGTCTAAAAACATACTGGTTGGCCACGATAAAGCAAAGAAAGTCCTTGATTACATTCAAAACCAAAGAGCATTCATGGTTTCTATAAAATAAAGCAATGATCAACAGCAACCACGATGCAACAGCTTGTTTAGAAGTGAGTTATACAAAGGTGCTCTTAAGGAGTCAGCTTAAAAAGATGAGATGATATAACATGTATATTTAAATGCTACTGATGGAGAGTAATTGCTTGTTGAAAGGCTTCTTTTTTGTGGCTTTATGGAATGTTTTACCTGTGCAAAGATGGGTGTTGTGTTTGGGAACAACACAGTGAAAATTGCTTAGATCGCAGATGAATGTTTCTATGCACTACCCCTTTTAGAAACAATGAAAAAGCCTGTTTGCATTCATTTCATTTGAATTCTACAAGAATTTGTTCATAAGAAACAAGGGTCTTGAAACTTAATTAACATCACTTGAAAGATATCATACTCTATATTTCTTTGTAAGAGAGTTTTTGGCAAACAAAACCAATATTGCACAGTGTTCTTGTATCTGGAGATGCCGCACAGCGTATAAAACATCACATACTGTCTTATTTGGTGCAAGCCTGAAGCAAGATGAAAGCGATGGAAACTTGTTGCCACTTCAAAACTGTTCTGCGTATTTGGTTTTAATAAGATAAGAAGCAAAGAAACAACGAATTCAAAGGAAAGGCTTCTCAAGCTAAATCAGGTGAGCGTTAGTGATGCACACCTTTTTCTTTGCTGCACCCTTTCAGAAGAACATGAAGTGCATGCAGTTTGAGGCTGATGAAAGAGGGCTGTTTCCTGTTTGTGTGGTGTACGCATAGAGGCACCTTGAGATGAAGTACCAGGAAGTGGGTTTCTGAACCTCCGAAGTTGGCGGATGGAGGGGGTCGCCTGCTCTTTGATATGTTTTTGAAAAAAAGAAAAAGAAAAAGAAAGCTTCCATTACTTCATCAAACTTAACAGCAGGTAATTTTCCAATATGGAGACGATGCAGTGACACAGACCAAGCTCGTTCACTCATTGCTTCCTGCAAAACAGGATAAAGCAAGTTTGTAGTTCAGCTCTCAGTCCCAATCTCCATTCACCTTTAACCTGCAGGGTTGAGCAACAGAATGTCAGAGCGTGTACACTTTGCAATTGTGTTATCGCAGGAAGGTCTACCTCCTTGTTTGAGAAAGAGGTGAGTAAATAGTGCTGATGTTCTAACTGTCTTTTATCTACACTGACAGCTGAGAGAAGGGTGGCTGCAGTGCGGTGTGCATGCATGTGTGCATGCTTGTGTGTCACTGCAGCACAGCAGGTGTTGTGGGACAACGGCTAAGGTCAACCTCGAGCGAGGAGGTTAGCGGGAGCTCAGAAATCTGCATGGGAAATGGTAAAGAGATCATCTGTGCAGCAGCAAAACACTGACCCGTGGACATCAAAAGCATAATTTAAGAAAATTATGCTTTGTCACTCTGTGCAAAACAGGCGTACAGCCACCCATAAATTCCTAATTAACACATTACACAGTATTCAGGGGGTTTTAACCCATGTGAAGATAAATGAATCTATAAATAGTAATAATGAGCCATTTGCTCTGATGATTCTAAACTGAAACTCTGACAAACCAATCATGACAGGAAAAAAAGTGGCATCTTAGTGTTTGTCTGTCACAATCCCCATACGCTGACCTTGCTGTCAGATGACAGATTTGCCAAAGGCCTCATTTGCTCTTATACAGTGGCAATGCACAGTCATCCTCTCTGTTTGTCCTCACTTTTAGCTCTGCTCTTTGTTTGTCCATGACTTCGCAAAAGGGGTTGTTGGGAGTTAAAGTCTGGTTTCCTAAATATTGAAATTCTTAACTTAATTATGGGGATGTGTTTTATAATTTGTGCTAACAAGGGACCTTCTCATCCCCCCTCTAATCTCTTCTATTATCTATTATCAGCCTGTAGTGAATGCATTTTACTGTTTGTGAAGTTTACCGTCTGAATACAAAACAATATAGATTAGTCACACTGAGTGACACAGAAAGTGGAACACCCAATACCTAATTCTATGGGGGAAAAAAACCCTTTTCGATAACTGCCTTAACAAAGAAAACAATATTAACTATGTCCTTTGAAGGAGCTGCATTGCTGTTTGTAGCATGGCATCACAGCAGTGACGCCACCCTCTTTTATCAATAGCATCAACCTATTTTCACAACCTCATGATTTCCCCTACCATACATGTTTCTGGGTAATCATTTCATAAAATATCTTATCTGAAAGTCATGCTTTAGTAGTTGCTTTACAGTTAGCATTTTGGTAATCACACTGCTGCAATCTCAGTATACAGTATACAGTATATGCACTTTTTTCTGCTGCCCGCAGCAGCCAACGGGCTTTATCTTTGTAGGTCTATGGCTGTATGTGTCACAGCTAGACTCATTGCAGATCAACAAAGACAACAGTCACAAACACTCCCTGATCCCGTGGCTTTAATCCGGGCTCTCCACGCTGCTGTTATCTAGCCGACTGAGGCTGTGACACACTACTTACCCAATAATGACTATTAGCCGTGTCTGGATCCAGTGTCACATGTGCTTTTCCTCCCCTCAGGCTAAAGTGGCAACCCTTGACCTTTTAAAGAAAGGAAGAGAAAACACATGTGTTGAGCAGAGGAGCAGAGAGGTGAGGAGGCTTCAGAGGAGAGGACTGGTGATGGCTGTCTGACAGGTTGTGGAAACACACCCTTCCACTCCTTACTGTGACAGAAAAACAAACACATAGCCACTAGACTCTCGCTGAGCTCTGCGCTAATGGACAGGTGATGACTTTTTCCTAACGAGACACTGGCCCAGTGGAAACAGGAGATGAGGAGTGACCAATAGGAGAGGCTGTAACAAACCTGACACTGTTTTGCTTTGGGTTTCTGGTCCACTGGGCCGAGTGAGTCACACACAGTTCTCCTGAGTATTGAACCACTTCAGTCTTCCTGTCTTATGACTTCCAGCGTCACGGCCTGATGGGAAAAACACGGCCTCCATTAGCAGAACAACACTTGCTCTGCTTTATTAAAATGCGAATTCTTGCTTAAATGGCCTTGACAAGCATTTGTATGACAATATTTCTATGACATTTATGAAGGTCACAGTGGGGCTCAGGGCAGCACTGATCATCCGGTAGGTTGTAAACAAGCCTTTTCTATCTGTAACTCACTCAAAGTCTGATTTTCCATCTCTGAATGAGTTTTAGGTGCCTGAAGAGGTACATTACACAATATCTCTCCAGGTAAAAGCAAATAATTGTGCAAAAAATAAAGCATATTCATCAGCTAGTCACAAAGCTGAGCTTTGGCTTAGTTTTATTTCGAGATAAAGTCTGTAAAAACTCCATGTAGGATATTGAAAAGACATGTTACTATATATCCAACTCTTTACTTATGCCTCTGTGTGTGACACAAGACAGTGAATGAGGTTAGCTTGAAGTCACTGAACCATGCTAAAGCTAAAAACAGCACGTTTCCTTACACGTGATTCTCAGTTTTGTTTTGCAGCATCTGTTTCCTCTGGTGACAGCGACACTGGAAAACAGTCTCATTCTCACTTCTTAAACGCAGTTTTCAGTTTCTCACCAGATCAATACTGATTTAAATGACCTCACACGCACATACGCACACACACACACCCACATGTACATATCACGCTCCTAGAAATAAACTTCCTCCTCCACCCTTACACCTACAGAAGTATATTAGAGAACGACAGACTCAAAGTTGGCTAACTATGAGTCACTCTGGCCTTTTAGAGGTAAAAGCAGACAAAGATGACATCAGTGACAGTTTTACAGGAAGTCCTTGCACTGAGGCCAAGTCTGCACTAGACAGAGACGATCATCTCTATCTGTAATCTAACACTCAAATGCACTCACACGATGTTGAG